CCCCAAAACCCCAAAACCCCAAAACCCCAAATGTTCCAATCTTATTGAATAATTATTTTAATGTCTGCATCAACCAGCCAAAGCCAAGAGGACATGCTCCCTTGTGGACTTGTCCCTCTCCAGAACTTAGATATGCCCGAGCTTGAAGTGGGAGAAGAGCAAAAGCAGGAGGAATACCAGGAAGCTCAACCTCAAATGGACCACGAGGAGCAGAAAGACCAAGTTTATGGCGAACAAGATATCCAGGACCAATATTTTATTGTTTGTAAGGATAACGATAGAGATGTTCGTGCCCAACAAATTGAAGAAGAGCAGAAGATATTGCAACAAAGAAAAACAAGAGTTGAAGATAAGCTTATCGAGATTCAAGACAAAGTTGAACAAAAGAAGACACAGTTGAAAGGTCAGCCTCAGAACATTGGACAAGAAGAACAAGAAAAGGAAGAGTTTGAGGAACTGCAAACAAAGTACTTTTTAGTCTTAATTTTAGGTATAAGGAAATCCAGAAAGCTATTAAGTAAGCCTTAACAGTTATTTCTGTGTAGAGAGTTCAAATTGGAAAAAAAACCTCAAAATAGTAAGAAAATATTGCTGACTTTTAGACTCAGACCTCATGCAAACAAATCAGAAGATGAAGGATTGCTTGACAGATATGGAGAATGAAGTCAATGGATTTATTAACAAATTTAATGAAAATATAAAAATAGAAGGTAAGCATAGTACTTAATACACCATTTCGAGAAAGTCTCATACTTAGTTTGCCAAGTTCGGTGAAGAATTTTAATTAACAATTTTATTCGATTTAAAATGCCTTTATTGAAGGAGATTTTGATGAAGTTGGAGTTATAATGTATAGACAATGAAGAAGACCAACAACTCAAGCTAGATCATATATTAAACCCTCCAGCTTCCTTTGACCTCAAACAGACTCTTAAGAAGTTGACAGAAGATAACGAGGAGGATTATGAAGAATTAGAAGCTTATCTGAAATCCCTGGGTATTTCAAAACTTTATTGTGTAGATAGCACTCCTGAAAAAACATCGAAGTCGACTCAAGGAGTAAACCAAGAAAACTTAAGTGTTAAAGAATCTATCATACAAAACTATATTCCAAGACCAGAAACTGATTCAGATGAAGGAAAACTTTGCAGAGTAAGTTAAATTTTTTGTAGCCATTACATTCAAATTGCCTATTTCAATATTTTAATTTTGTAAATTTTTAGAGTTCTGAAGATCACGGAGAAGGCAAATCTGTAGAGTAAGGAAGATTCAATAATTTATCTAGTCAAGAAGAAAAGAAAAGTGCAGCTGATGGCTTTGTTGTGTTAAGTAAAAATAAAGCAATTGAATTTTTTAGTCAAAGTAAAAATATAGGTTTTGCTTCTAATTTAGGAAGAATTATGTTTCTTATGGATTATAGATAAAGGTGATTTATCAAGTAAATGTTCACAAGAGAGCAATAAAGTATCTTGTTTGTTTATTATGTTTAGGGATCAGCTAAGAAAGAAGAGCCATGGTAAATCTTTATTTTGCTAAGAATTGCTGCACTAATTTTATATTTTAATTCATAATTTCTTTGCAATGAAATTTTATTTCTAAATCCCTCTGAACCTCATTCACAACAAACTCAGCACTATAAAAATATTTTTACCAAAAGACTCATTTTGATATCTTTTAATTTCTGATTTATAGGATTAACGAAACTGTGTTGGAAGAACTCAGAATAACTGATTTGAGTAAGTAATACAAATAATCAAACCAATTCTTGACGAAATAATAATTTTATTCAGACTCTCTAAACTTTTTGTTTGACCAGTACCTCGAACAACAAGATGCTGTTTCAAAGCAGGAGAGCGAAACTGTAAGCATCGAGTTAATGTTCATTTAGGAGAATAAAAATTCAGGAATTTTATATTGGCTCGGTTTATCGAAGGTATAGTGCTCTCTTTTAAATCTAATAAACTCGATATTTTATCTCAAACTTTGCAGTCAGTTTGGGATTTTATTTTTCTAAAAAAAATTACATTTAATCTTGATTATTTAGGGGGAATCTAACCAAAGCAAAGATGAAACTGTACTTAAAATTCAGATAACTTTATAGTCAAAAGAGCCTGATATTACGCCAGAAATAAATGAAAAGCAAATTAAAGATCACGCTAAAGATCTTATGCAAGTTATCCTAAAACATAAGATGTCAGACTGTGCCTTATGGAACATTCTTTGAGACCTGTCAAAACATAACATTAAAATTGATAAATATTTTAAGGATAAACTACAAGAATGCAAAGAAGATCTAGACAAGGTCAGAAATAAGATCGTTGATTTAGCAATGCCTGAGAGTAAGATGCTAATACTTTCTTTTGCCAATAGAATATACTTAAAGTTATCTTTAACAAATTTTAATGGAACATCATGTTCAAAAATTAATAAACTTTTAGAAATAAAGAAAGAAAAGGAACAGGAGATGCTCAAGAAAGTCTTGAAAGTCTTTCGTAAGAAATTTTGCAAAGAATAAATAACATCCTCATAGATGGAGACCTGAATGATTATAATACCAAATTAAAAGAGAATTTTAAGAAAGAAAAAGAAGAAATGATTAAGGATATCAATGATAAATGGAATAAACATCAATTAAAACTAAAGGAAAAATATCAAAATAATATTGAGACTATTGCTAGAATAGCCACAGAGTTTGAAAGAAACTTTAAAACAATAAATTCACAATTAAGTTCAGAAATTGAGGAGAATAAAAAGAACATAGAGTAAGTTAGCTTGCTTATATTCAGATCAATTACATCTCTCATTGAGCTCAACGAGAAAAGAGAAAAACTTAATCAAGAAATAATGGAGATTAATCAACAAATAGAAAAATTGCATTCCAAAGTCAAAGAGAAAGCTTGATTTGAATTTAATGAGAAAATTCATCAATGTGTTTATACATATAAGAAGAAAGAAGCTCTTCTTGAAACAGATCAAACTCACATACAAAGTAATCTAGCAAATTGATCATCTCTAGGGAAAATTGATATTCTTGATGCAGAAACTCAAGAAAGATCACAAAATCTAGTAGATAACCAGATAGAGAAGACAGAAAATTATGAGAACTGTACCATCGAATTTTTTCATACTCCCAAACTTGAGGAAGCACAGACAAGTGCTTTAGTCATTCCATTTGATGAACAACTCAGAACTAGCAATCTCCTTGAAAGATATAAGCAATTAGCCAAAGATGCTGGTGAAAAGCTCAAAAATGCGTGTCAGCAATACAAGAACCAGCACTTTAGATTAAGAACTGGGCTTGCTACAGTGTTTCCATCTGGCAACTTGAAGTTCAACAGCATTATTGCAGCTGTTGGGCCAATAACATCTAGTGAAGTCTTTGAGGAGCTGATGAAGAAGACCATTTATTCAGTTCTAGATTTGATGATAGACTATAACCTCAGTAATATATAAACGATAATCTTTTAGAGTCCATCTTCATCCCATCCTTTGTGAGTCAAAACTCAAAAATAAAAGAAGGCGAATATATTCCCATAGTTACAAGTGTAAGTTAGAAATAAGTATTTTAGGCAATAAAGCAGTTTATTAAAGATAACTCACAAGTTATGACAGACAGAAGAATAGTAATAGGTAGGGACATATTCACGAGATATAATTGAAGGAAAAATAAAAGTGATTGCAACAACACTTAGTGAGAAATATTGTTTGATTAAAAATGTGATTTAATGAAGTTCTAGTGAGAATATAGCTTCTTAAATGAGTAGCTAATTTATTTTCTAATAAAAGATTAGTTGATTTAGCCAATCAAAAGATTTAAATGCATTAAATTCTGTATAATTTCCTACTAATTCAGCATGATTTATTATTAAGCCTATAAGTTGCTCTATATTATTCTCCCAGTATGAATATTTTTTAGGTTTGAAAGAATTTGTATACAACTGAGAAAGTCATGATTCAAACTCCTTCTTCTTGTTTGCTAGATCTTTTTATTTTATTTTGATGGTAAAAAAAATTTGAAAGCAAAGCTAAATAATAAAATTAAAAATCAACTATACCTTTCTGGAAGATAAATTCGGAGCCTAAATTAAAGGCAGCATTGTAGTGCAATTGATGAGGGTTTCTTATCCTTTTACTCTAATTATTCCTTGTTTAAAGCTTTTACTATTATCATCTCTCATCCTCTCTTATTTCCCACTCATCTCTCCACCCCTCTATGCTTTCCTCACTCATCACCTCTAGAATCCCCTAAACTAGCTCCAGTCCCATCTCCAGCACCAGCCTTCCCTCATTCCCTTTCAGACTTGTCATCTCCAGCTTTCAAACCCACTTCCACTTCCTCCCCAGCAAATGTTCCAGCTTCTAATCCTCATGAAGAATCCAAGTCCTCTACTGCTGACGAATCTCAAGAAGCTCAAGTGGACCTTTCCAGCAAGGAAGTCCATGATCAGTCTGAAGAAGAAGAATCAGCTGAAGCGAAGGAGTAAGGTATCCCACTTAAGTTATAGGTTGAGAGAAATGAGGGAAATGACAGAAAACAATAATGGCTAATTGATAATTGATGTTCAATGTTGACCACAGTCTGGGGTTTTGGGGTTTTGGGGTTTTGGGGTTTTGGGG